TCCACACTCCCTCCCCGGCGAGCTGCAGGCCCTTTACCAGAGGCCCTCGAGGGCACGGTGCGCGCCGCCAGCCTGCACCGCGAACGGGTCCTCGCGCTCTCGGACACACGCCACAAGCTAGCCGCAAGTCGGTCCGGCCCACGAACCAAGCAGATTCTAGGGCTGCGGTTCGTGCGCCGCGGAGCCCCGGTGGTCAGGGGAGGCTATAGGTTTCTCGGTGCCTGTGTATCGAGTGGCCGACACTGTCTACAGGACGCCCGCACACCGAGCACTGCGCCCAGACATGTCTGAGAGGGCGAGCGCAGTAGCTGCCCCGAAACTTCGGCCTGAATAAGTAAAAGGAAAAGCCCAGTCCCATCAGTTAAATCAGCACCGCAGTTCCGCAAACACTCCGCAAACGGCCCGCGCGACCCAGGAGAGCCTTGGGAACAGTATGCGCTGCTCTCCTAGCTCGGCCTGCAGCGCTTCACCGCAACGCGCGCTGCATCCCAGCTAAGCCGCACTTCGGCCAAGTGTCCGCACCCTCTGAGCGAGCGACCCCTCCCGAAAGTGGACCTGTGCGAGAGTTACCCCCGACCACCCCGAACGTCCCCTCCCGCCGGGCGACACACAGGACGGATACATGCGTGTCCGCCTACACGTGCACTGGAAGCAGGCAGTAGGTGGAGCCGTTCGCGCTCTGCAGCCCCTTTTCCATCGGTCCCCGGCCCGTTCCGCGCGATTCAGAGATGTTTACCTTGCGTTTCTCAGTCCGAGAATCAGAGTCAGACATTGGGGGGACGAGAGCCAGGGGAAGGGCGCCGAGGCGGCGGCGGCGGCGGCTGGGCAAACCGAGCAGCCCGAGGCGGTGCTCGCCGCAGTGGGGCAGGGCTCGCGGAGTGGCAAGAAAGCGGCGGTGGTGCTCGACGCTGTGCTCTGACAAGCTGGGGACTCGGAGGCAGCGCGGAGCGAAGTGAAACCTGCGCGGCCCTGAGCCCTGCTCAGGCTGGCGGGCCCGCGCCGGCGCCCAATCACCGCGGGCCCCGCCCCCGCCAGGTCCCGCCCCGGCGTGCAGGCTGGCAAGGCCCGCCCTCGGGGCGCCTCTGCTGGCCCCCAGTGCAGGATCCGACAGGTAAAGGCGGGGGTGGCTCCGCTGGGTTCCCCGCCGAGCGCTCCGCCAACCCCGGCGTGTTTACTGAAGTGACTTGGCCGGACGGGGGGCGCTATGTACGCACCCATCCCCCACCTCGACGTGTGTCCTTGCCTCCCCAAACTGCTGGCCGCCGCAGCGTACGCAGACAACACAGGGGGCGCTCGGGGCACACCCTGGGCCGGGCCGGGCAGTAGCCGCTGGTGGAAAGAGTCCCTTGTGCAGAGAGAACTGCTCCTGGGCGCTGGGGCAGGTTCGGGAACTAAGTCGTTTTTCGAGATCGTGTGGGTGCGAGTTTGGGCAGGGGATCTCTGAGCTCTCCTCCTTCCGAGAGTGGGGCGCAGAGCTGGACCTGGATTAGTAAACTCCTCATCTTCCTCGTCCCCGTCTCCCGTGGGACTCTGACACGCTTCTGCCACCCCGCAGGAGCGCCTCAGCCTTTCCCCCCTCGCCTAGTCATCGTAAGAGACAGTCCACATTGGGAGGGGAAGTTGACAAAGAGACAAGGAATGGTCCCAGAAGGCGTCTCTGCAGCCTGGGTACGGGGCCAGATGCCAGTGTGCAAAGAGCAGGTAAAATAGAGAAATGGAAAAATAACTCGGAGGAAAAAAAAAATCAAGAAAATAAAGACACCGAGGAGAGGCGCGACCCCCCCAGTGAGAGAGAAGGTTGTGCCGGTTCCCAGCCGGGACCCTCGAGTTTGCTGAGTTCTCTAAAATCTCCCGGAACGGTACCTCGGCGGGCTGAGGCCGGCGAAGGCCGAGCAGCGGAGTTTGGGCGCTGCCCCTTCACCCTCCTCCTGGTCGTCCGTGGGCCGGCGGTCTCCCTGCGGTGGAGACCAAGCTCCGCGCCTCGCCTAAGTTCCTCCCAGATCTGCACCCGCATCGGCCTCCCCCGCGGAGGAGTGGGAGGCTTGGTCTCCACAAGGAGCATCCTACCTGGGGAGATCAGGCTAGACAGATTAAGGAAACTCAGTTTAGGGCTCGCACTAGCCCGCACCCTTGGCGTAGAGGGAGCGAGGTGACATTGTCCCGCCGTCGCGCGACGTGGTCAGTTTTTATGTTGGCAGATCCATAACGTCTGCGTGACACAGCACACCCCGGTTAAAGTCTTTCAAGCGCCTTCTCGGGTGAACCCTGAACGAGCTGGAAGAGACCGTGAGGTCGGGGAGGGACAGGAGGACGCGCCGGGCCCTCCCTGGGATTTCGCTGTAAGAGGGGAAGGGCGTGGGCGTGGGCGAGGCGAAGTGCGTCGGAGGCCGGAGATCTACCCTGACCGCGACTCCAGTTCCCGGCCACGCCCTGGCCGCTCCGCACCGTACCCAGGGGAGCACCGCAACCTACGGCGGCGGCTGAGTGCCCCACGCCCGCCGCACGCCCGACTTCTCCGCGTTCTCCGCGGGGTCGTGGGCTGGAGACTGGGACCGGAAAAGAACCACGCAGAAGAAAACCCTGCTGCTTGTTCTGGTGCAGCGCCGCCGCCCCCGCGTCGTCGCCGCCCTCCCGCGACCCTGTGAACACTTTAAAAAACAAAGCCGTCGGGGGGGAAACGGCGGGCTAAGCGCTCCAATTTGAGACGCTACAAGGTAGCCGGCCGCACGCGCGACCCAGTCTGTGTTAAGCAGCCTCCACCCTGCACCTTACGTCGGGTGTCCGCGGGCCTATGCAGCCTTCTCGCGCGGCGTGGAGAATAGCCGGGAGCTGGGCCGGGGCAGAGAAGGGGCTGCGTTAGATCATCGGTCCTGGACGTCGCCCTCGCCCACACCGGCAGAGCGGTGTCCCTTCCTGCCTCTGCGCTCGGGAGGCGAAGGGCGGGGTGGTGGGGGGAGGATGGCGAGGACCGAGAGACGAGTGAAGTTCGGTAACCGGGATCTGCAAAAGGGGAAATCGTCGGCCCTCGCCCGGGACCACAGCCTGGGAGGTCTGTCCGAGTTCCGAAACCAACTTACGGCGGCGTTCTGCCCCGCGGGTCTCCCGGTCCTCTGCCAGCAGGCGAGCGCCTTCCCGCCGCTTACTTTATTAAACGTGGTATCTACGCTCTTCTGAAGGAGCGATTACAGCTTCATGTGGTAAAAATGTTTTCCGCGCGTTGTCTTGACTGCCGGAAAACGCCTGCCTGGGAGGACGGGCCTGAGTTCTTGCTTTGCGGAAAGCAAAACTCTGGGCTCCTCCAGCCCCTCTCCCCACCCGCCTGTGCGTTTCCACGCAGAGCCCAAGAGGGTCGCATTCACTGGAATAGCATCACTTGCTGAACTGAACGTTTGCCCGCGCGCGGAATAGATGGAGCCTTTTCCTTTGGCCTGAGCGTGTTTAATTTTTAGGTTTAGATTCTTTTCCAGCCTGCACCAGTTTTCCGAAATCACCGAGAGTGTGAGTCACCGCGGACAGTAGACCTTCCGTGCACTCCGCTGCGGGGCGCGCTCAAGGCGCACT